AACCCCTCTTTATTAGTCAAGGGAGATATGAATTTAATGCCAACCTTTTTATGGATCAAATACCTAGAAGAATAACACTTGGACTTGTCTCTAACTCTGATTATGTTGGAAATTATGGACGCAGTCCTTTCAACTTCCAACCCTTTAATGTTCGCGAAATTACAATAATAGCGAACGGGAGAAGTTATCCTCAAGCCCCCTATGACTTTGATTATATGAATGGAAAATATGTTAGAGCATTTAATGATATGAATGATGCCATAGGGCTAGCAACTTCGTCAGAAAGTAATGGAATTACTTATCAGCAGTACGGTAGTACCCATTGTATATACATTTTTAACCTGACAAATAGTGGTGATGACCAAGGAGGACTATTTGATTTAATAAAAAATGGGACAACTGCTGTGAATATTAAATTCAGTCAACCAGTGCCCGAAGGGGGAATTATGCTTGTAGCTATGGGCGAAGCAGATTCATTAATTATTCTAGATAAAAATCGTACTATTGCTAGTGACACTACTATATAAATAGATTCAGAATTCAATATTGTATTAAAATTTTAAAATGAATAAAATTTCAATTGTTATTTTTCTTATTCGAATTTTTTCTCCTCTTGTTGAATCATTAAGTATAGATGATATTTCAAAAGTGGAACATCTCCCTGAATACGCAGAATATTTAGCAAAAAGAACAACAACATCTACATCCTTTCCTATTAAAATGGATTTCCCAAACTTCCCCACTATTCAACTTTGCAAAGATAGCCCCGGGGAAAATAATATATATGGACATATTTTTTGCTGGGGAATGATAGTCTTATACATTTTGTTTATAATTAGCCTAATTATTTTTCAATTTCGCTCAATTCTTTGGTTCAAAGTAGTACTCCCCCGAAAAAAGTTCGAAGGTAAATGAGATAAACTTTGAAAATTATTTTTAAATTAAGCAAACGATGAACGGATACAAAATAACCCAGATATTGAACTCGAATCCAAAGACACACCGAATTTTTCGGGGATGCTTCCCGTGTGATTTAATTCCAAAGAATGATTTCATAAAATCAATATACATTGTCAATTTAGATCCAAGAGAAAAGAAGGGATCTCATTGGATAGCAATTTATATAAATCTTAATAAAATATACTATTTCGATAGCCTAGCCCTTCCAATAAGTACTTGTATTTTTAATTCATTTCTTAAAAATTTTTCTAATATTAAACGTAATGTTAAACCCTATCAATCACCTATAGCTAAAACTTGCGCTCATCATTGTATCTCTCTAACTTATTTCCTATCTCAAGGCCTATCTTTTGAAGAATATTTAAAATTATTAGACACAAAACAAAATCCAGATTTATTTGTAGTTAAATTAGTGAATAAAATTTTACAATGAATTATTTTTTAAATTACACAGGTGTTGTGGCAAAAAGTGCACAATCAGTGCAAAGCCAAAAAGAGTAAAAGAATAAATTTTCGTTAATCGGTATTAATGTCTTTCTTTGCTTCTTCAATAGGTTGAACTTTAAACATTCCTCGCACCAGTGCCAACCAAAGAAATAGTGATAAATAAAACTGCAACGAGCACCTTTATCAAGCTTCTCCCCATTCTTTAGAGATAAATTTAGAGCTGCCAGATAACTGTGTCTTACACAGGATTTGTATTGACAAAATCCCTACAATTATATTTTATTTATTTCATAAATTTTATTGCTACCTCTATATTAAAATATTTGGTCCCTTCTTCTTGTGACATTTTAAGTAATAAATTTTTATCTGAAAAATTACAGTAATCAGTTTAAAACAAAAGGGAAAAATGGTAAAGTGTAATAAATTAAATATGCATTAATATGTTATGAATTATTAATGAATGACACAGGGTGGCACCCTTTGATCTTTACCATCTGTCGACAGATGGTAAAAATGATTGATGACCTTTACAAAAAGCCCGCCAAATTTTAAGATGAGGTTTAAAAATTTAGTTTAAACACGCAAGGGAAAGGGAAAGTAGGTCAATGACGAGGGGTCGCGACAATTAATATTTGACTGACACAAAGCGGCACTCTTTGATCTTTTGTTTACACTTTTATTACACTAAAATTCAAATATTTTTAGCGTCCTTTTTTTAACCTTGTAAAAAGAAAGAGTGACATGTGACATGTCAAGAAAGGGGTTGAGGGGTCCGTCAAAGGCGGCACCCTTTGATCTTTTTTTATTACTTTGTTTACTACTTTTTTATTACATTTATTACACTAAAATTCAAATATTTTTAGCGTCCTTTTTTGAACCTTGTAAAAAGGAAAAGTGACATGTGACATGTCAAGAAAAGGGTGAGGGGTCCGTCAAAGGCGGCACCCTTTGATCTTTTTTTTTATTACTTTGTTTACTACTCTTTACATTACAACCTGTCAAAGACAAATTACCATCTGTCCATGAAACATAACCTTCTGTCCAGGACATGTTACCATCTGTCGAAGATGGGCAATAAAATTCTTAATGATTGATGACCTTGACATTTAAAAAAGCCCGCCAAAATTTAAGACGCGTTAATTGACAGAGTATAAATATCGTAAAATTGTAATAACCTCGTCATTCGCGTATATTTTTTACTTTTTACACTTTAATTATTAGACGATAAATCAAATTATTTAAATTTTTTTATTTTTAACAAAATTATTTAAACTTTTTCACTTTTTAATAAAATTATTTAAACTATTTCATTTTTTTTAATTTTTATTACCAAAATTATTTATACTATTTCATTTTTTAAATTTTATCACTAAAATTATTTATACTATTTCATTTTTTAAAGTTTTATTACTAAAATTATTTAAATTTTTCAGTTTTTAACAAAATTATTTAAACTTTTATTTTTTTATTTTTATCACTAAAATTATTTATACTATTTCATTTTTTTATTTTTTAACAAAATTATTTAAAATTTTTTTATTTTTTAACAAAATTATTTATTAAATTGCTTCCTTTTTTAAAGTTTTATTACTAAAATTATTTAAATTTTTCAGTTTTTAACAAAATTATTTAAATTGCTTTATACTTTATTACTAAAATTTTTTAAATTGCTTATATTTTATCACTAAAATTATTTAAATTGTTCATATTTTTTATTAATAATTCTTTAAGTTTTGCTATAATTTATTATAAATGGATCAACAACCACCACAAAAACGACGAAAATTTACTATTGATAATATTCTCGGTATTGGATCGCTATTTTCCATTACTAATTTACTTGGACTACAAACTGGCTCTGGTTCTTCTAAAGAACCAAAGGATTATGTCGATCGTCTCGAAACAACAATCGATCGGAATAAAAAATTTAAATTTTTGAAAAGCCGTAGCAAGTTCCTTATCAAAGACTTGCCTCCCGACCCCGAGGAGTTGTTAAGCAGTATGTTATATATTTATTTAGATATTATGGAAATTTTTTTAGAAATTTTTCAATACTTTCTTAATGAGGCGGTGGAAGAGAGCCGCAACCGTGGTATGAAAGCGGAGCAGATTGGATGCATTGTAAGTAGTCCACTATTGGACCACGATGTTTGGATTCCTGTAAGGTAAGTCAAAATTTATTGAAAAGTATTAAAATAAAATTTTGATTCTTTCAGAGATAGAAACGAGAATACGGTTGAGGCAATTCTCAACCGTTTCTTGTTGGTTGCCCAGAGCTTTCGTCAGAAAGATGTGACGCTTTGGGGACAACCGTTCACAGTTACTGCTACTGTTGTGGACAAAAATGCTCTACCAAAACAACATCAACTCCCTGGAGCAGGAAGACCTAGGAAAACTCAAGTGCGTCACCACATCAACAACCGTGCTTTGATTAAGGCCTGTTTACCCCGTTTTTTAAGGAAAAAATTTTTAAGACTTGAAATTTTAATATAAACATTAATTCATTAAAGTGGGAAGGGGATATAAAGTGGGTTAAAAATGTGAAGTAAAAGCGGAATAAATATAAAAGAAATAATTAAACTGCACAATTATATAGGATTCGGGGAACCCATAATTCATTAGAGTAATATTTTTGTTTCAGATTCAAAACAACGATACTTATTGCCTCTTTTATTCATTAATTGCTTCACTTGTGCATTCGATTTGCTCCTGGTCACCAACTAAATTCTTCAGATATATTAACAATGAACATGGAATGGCAAATAAATTTAAAGAAGATACAATTGAATTAATGGAACAGGTTGGAGCGCCGATGGATTTAGATTTCTACAACGCCGAATATTGGATTCCTTCTGTTGTCGACTACTGGAACAACAAATATTCAGGGCAGAATATCTTCAAAGTCTTTGTCTTCGGTTCAATAGGTAACTATAAGCCGGAGATTAAGATTGGCCCAGATAATTTTGATACGCCGATACTGCTCTTTTACAACAATCAACATTTTGATGGAGTGCGGAAGTCCGGAGGCCTGTTCGGTCAACCTTATTGCTTTTATTGTGAAAAGGTTTATGACCGAGACATTACCCATCGAGCTTCTTGTAGAGCACGATGCATTAAGTGTTCTCGTGTCGGACCCGGCTTTCCGTGTAAAATAATGGCAACATTCACCAAACTTTGTCGATTATGTGGCAAATTATTTAACAACGACAACTGTTACCGATATCATCAGCGATGCGGCTACTGCAACATTTCAAAGCAGTGTGAAAAATGCGGAGTTGTATGGAATGTAAGGGACAACAATAGACAAGGGCGCAAGGGTCATATTTGTGGGGAGAAGCATTGTAGCACATGCGGAGACTACCACGACGCCAAAAGAGGGTGCTTCATCAAACCTCTTGAACCAAAATCTGACAAAAAATATCGATTCGTTGCCTTTGACTTAGAGACAACGCAATATTTACCTTCTGACAAAGGAAAGAAACATGAAGCAAACTTCATCGCAGCGAAAATAACTTGTCCTGAATGCATTTATGAAGTATTTTTTAATAAAAATTTTGAAAAATGAAAAATTTTAGGATAGAGAGTGCAGAGTATGTGGGCAACACCGACTAATCACATTTTCACAAATGCCTTTTACTGAAACAACTGTTGATAAGATGGTTATTTCAGCTCACCCTTTGGAAGCTTTTATTGATTGGCTTTTGAATGAACTTCCTCAGGAACATGATACTTTGGCATTCTCCCACTTTGGCGGGAGGTTTGATATGGTTATTGTCTTTAGAGAATTATTTTTACGAGGTATTAAACTTTAAAATTATAAAGAAATGAAAAAAATTTTTGTAGGCTTTACCCCTGAAATGTTAAAAAGAGGTAATAAGATGTATGAAATGAAAATCGTCTCGAGAGGCAAAAATAAAGGAAGTATAATTTTTCGGGATTCATTCAACCTCATGCCTATGTCTTTGGCTTCGCTAGTCCCAGCTTTCGCTTTAAAAGTTGAAGACAAACCATATTTTCCACATTTGGCAAATCACCCCAACAACTATGGAAAAATGATTTTTCCATCAAAATCAGACTACTTGGCTGATGGAATGCTTCCTGAAAAAAGAAAGCAATTTGATCAGTGGTACGAACAACAACAACAAAATCCTTTTAATCTTGAAGAGGCTCTTGCCTCTTATTGCACCAATGATGTGGAGATTCTGATGGCGGCTCTCATTGCATTTCGCAATGAATTTCTAGAGGTCCAAAATTTGTTATAAATTTTTCAAGTTTAACCAATAGCTTTAATTTAGGTTTCAAAGCGAGAGAATGGAAATAGACCAGCTTCAGACAAAGGACATGATGGAATAGATGTACTCCGGGATTCAATGACAATTGCATCCGCCTGCATGCGTCACTTCAGAACCAATCACCTCAAAGCTGAACATGTCGGCATAGTTCCAGAACGCGGCTATGACAATGTGGATAATCAAAGCCTGCTTGCTTTGAAATTTTTGGAATGGTATGGGGATGAAAACAACGTTATTGTGCAGACTTGCAACTCAGCAAGTGGTGAAAAGCGGTAGATTATAAATAAAAAGGATTTAAAAAATTAAGTTTTAAGGATTGGGACCTACCGATTAGATGGGTGGGTTGAAGACCAAAAACTTGGGATTGAAGTTAACGGGTGCTGTTGGCACGGCTGTCAAAAATGTTACCCGGATGACAACATTGTCCTACCTAACGGTAAAACAGCCGGACGACAAAGGGAATTGGATAAGAAAAGACTTGATTATATCAAGTCTCAAGTTCAACAAGTAGAAGTATATTGGGAATGTGAGATAAAAGATATGTTGGCCAAGGACAAGGATATGAAGATGAAATTTGAAGATTATATAGACAACGGGCCGATCGACATTCGATCAGGATTTTATGGAGGAAGAACTGGCCCTCTTAAATTATTCCACGCAGCACAACCTGGAGAAAGAATATCATACTACGACGTAACTTCCTTGTACCCTTTTATAAATGTCACAACAAATTATCCAACGGGTCATCCGACAGTCCACATTTTGAATGAAAATGTAAATTGGACCAGTTCAACTGACAACAAATATACTCTTGCAATTTTGAAGGTATTTTAAATTTTAAAAAATTTTTAAAGAATACATTTTTAGGTCTTTGTCATCCCTCCCCGCAAGATTGATATTCCCATTCTTCCGGTGAAATCAAATGATAGGCTTCTTTTCCCACTTTGTCTTACCTGCGCGTATGTTTATATTTTGATTTAACAAAAAAGTTAGAAATTTTAGCAAGACTTATCCTGAGGGCGAAGTTATTGAAGAATACCAGTGCACCCACGACGATAGACAACGAGGATGGGTAAGCACGTGTACCTCTGTGGAATTAAATGCAGCGTTGGATGAGGGGTACAGGGTCAACAAAGTCTACCGTGTATTGGAATACACTTCATCGGATAATGGTCTGTTCCGCTCTTACATCGCGGAATTTATGGCCCAGAAGATACACTCTTCTGGGTTCGATGAATCAATCAAGGGTAATTTTGCTGCAGAGGAGAACCTTATTCGCGAATGCGCGGAAAAGTTTGATATCAAAATCGAAAGAAATAAAATGGTAAATATAGTATTTTATAAAAAATTTTCAATTCAAATTTCAGATCCCAAACAAAGGCAAGCGCACTCAAGCAAAGCTTTGTCTCAACAATCTTTGTAATTTTAAAAAAATATTCTGGGGAAAAATAAATTAACTTTAGGGGGCCGCTTTTCACTTAGGAACTTTGGTTTAAGTCAGTGTACGATCACTGACAGCCCTGCTACGTGGCGCAAAATTGTTGACGACCCTAGCAAAGAAGTTTCCTCTGTGGATGAGCTGACATCTGAGGTTATACTCATCTCCCACTTGACCAAGAAAGATTGGGTTGAGGAACATGAGTGTTCCAATGTTGGTAAGTCATGAATTTAATTTTTAATTTTAAATAAAAAATATTTTTTAGTTATATCATTGTGGACTACGTCTTGTGCCCGCTTGCACTTGTTGAAAGCAATGAAGAAAGTTGCTAGGACTCCTGGCTGCACTCTTCTGTACACGGGTAAATATAATTTTAAAACTTCTTTAAATAATTTAAATTTTAGACACCGACTCCCTTATCTTCGTCCATCCAGAAGAAAGAAACCCTTTGGATCTTGGGCCCCACTTGGGGGAATTTACTGATGAATACCCCAAGCATCACATCATAGAATACTGTTCTGGTGGCGCCAAACAGTATGGATTGAAGCTTCAACGCAAAGACCTCCCAGATGCTGAGTTTGAATATGTTCTGAAAGTGCGGGGTATGACATTGAACTGGGATGTTGTTATGAACCAAGGCCTTCGTTATGACGTTTTTAAAGAAAAAGTTTTTCATTTTGCCAACAATGGTTTTTCTGTACCGATCAATATTAATTATCCTAATTTCTTACGCCCATCTGTAAAAAATGGTGCTGTCTTTTCCCTACCCCTCAAAAAAATGTATCGTCCATTTGTAGGTAAGGGTATTGTGCGCCCAAGTGATTTTAAAGTTTTAGATTTTGGTCACACTTTGTAATTGTATTTAATTTAATAAATTTTATTTTGTGCAAAATTAATTGTTACAAGTGTTTAGTTTTAGGGGTAAAAATTCAAAATTAAGAGAAAGAAGATAACATTTAAAATTTAATGAAGAGAAGTGTTAGATTTTAGGGGTAAAAATGCGGAATTAGTGCAAAAAATATAATAAAAAATTTAAAAAATCTCATTTCAAAATTAACAGTTAAAAGTTATCGTTTTTAGGGGTAAAAATGCGGAATTAGTGTAAAGAAAATGTAATTAAAATTAAGAAAACTAAGATCAAAATTAACAGTTAGAAGTTGTCATTTTTAGGGGTAAAAATGCGGAATTAATAAGATGAAGATGAAATTTGAAAATTTCATAAAAATTAACAATTTCGTTATGTGCGCACGTGTTGTCTGTATATACATGATGCACACACTACACATGTGCACACACGTGTGCACAAACTAATAAATTCAAAATTAACAATTAGAAGTAGTCATTTTTAGGGTTAAAAATGCGGAATTAAGATGACGGAGATGAAATTTGGAAAATTTCATTAAAATTAACAATTAAGTCATGTGCGCACGTGTTGTCTGCATATACACGTGTGCACACACTACACATGTGAACACACGTAAGCACAAACTATTTCAAAATTAACAATTAGAAGTAGTCATTTTTAGGGGTAAAATTGCAGAATTAATAAAATGAAAATGAAATTTGAAAATTTCATTAAAGTTAACTAATATGTATGTGTGCACATACGTGCACGCATGTGTGTTGTGTACAAGTTACCAACCTTCCATCTCATCCAGCATATCAAATTCTAATGGTTCATCATTTTTGTCGGAATCAGAAGTTGTTGTTTTGTCGATTCGAAGTTTTTCAGAAACATCCACATACAATGGTTTATCATTTTCCATGACAGGGAAGCTAATATAATCCTCTTCTTTATCATCAACTAATTCAAGTAATTCAAGCGGGTAGTAACGGTCCTCACAACGCCGTGGGAACTTCTCAACCACGCATTGAAGATACGGATAACGTAAACGAATTCTATGCCGTGAATAGTAATGAGCCGTTACTGAAACGTTGTAGGGTCGAGACAATGCTCCATAAGCCATTAGAGTATGCGCTCCTAAATGTAATTTTAATGTACGTGGGAAATGATTAGGAACCTTTATGAGTAAATCCATGAAACGTGAAAGTTTTTCGAAAGTCGTTACGGTCAGAATATAGCGTTCGAACAATCCTTCCTTTTAGCTTTGAATGTAGAAGGGCACGCTTTGCCGGGTGATTTAAATGGTCTCGAAGAGACTTTGGGTGGCAATTAAGTATTTCAGCACACTCATCGATTAAATGACGCATTTTGAAGTTAAGAAATTAATGAATGAAAATTTTTTAAAAAATTTTTTGGCTTTTATACTCTCTCAAAATTTCACCATTACTTAATATTTAAAAAATATTAACTAAAAATTATACGGTCCCTCGATTATACAAAATATTTACAATGACAGATGTTTAATTTATTAAATATTATTCTGTTAAACAATTCGAATGACCTTGAGAATATTCATTCCTTAAAATTTTGGGAACATTTTGGTTAATAACTTTGTTCATGAAAAAGATAAACAGATGCAGTCTTTTGCATCTGATAGGGCAAAGAATTCTCTAGAAAATGACCGGTCAGTTTTTTAAGTTAGGTCCTAGAAAAATTTTTACGACCGTTTTACTAAAGACCATATTTTTCCAAAAATCTCAACTTTACTATTTTTTCCAGTGAAGAAAAATAAAAGGAAAAGGAAGTTAACCCCAAAAGATCAACACCACTGAGATCACCCAACCAATTACGTAACTCAAAAATAAAATTTCTCTTACCCCTCTCCAAACCAATTAGTAGAACAAATTGGTTTCCCTTGCCCCCAGACCAATTAGTCACTAATTGGTTCCCCTCGGTCCAGCCCGTCAGACTCGGCGGCATTTCCCTTTGATCATCAATCAAAGGACTGTCGGTATCCCTTTGATATGGTAGACCCTTCCCGCCCCTCCCCCATACCAATTAGTAAAACAAATTGATTTCCCCTTGCCACCTCCCCGACCAATTTGTCAAGCAATTAGCAGCTTAGATTCCCTTGACCTCCTCCCCAGACCAATTTGTAAAACAAATTGATTTCACCCTTACCCCTTCCCCAGACCAATTAGTCAACTAATTGTTTCCTCTTACACCCAACCCCCAAACCAATTAGTCAAACAATTAACACCTTTTTGTAATAAAATTTTCATTACCCCCTCCTCCAGACCGATCAACCAATCAATCAATCAATCAACTAATTGATTTCCTCTTACACCCAACCCCCAAACCAATTAGTCACTAATTAGTTCCCCTTACACATCCCGCACTTGTCAACAGGTTCGCGATTATACGGGGCAGACCCCTCCCCTTAAAATGATTTATGAGGTACAAATTAGTTCGGACCCCTCCCCCGATTAATAATTTATTACCCTGGCGGTAAGATCAAAGAGGATCATCAAAAAGATCAAAAGAAAAAGCCGACAAAACCCCCTTTTACCCTTTGGTTTTTGTCGGACCCCTCCCCCAGACCCCTCCCCCGACACCCCTCCTATAGGTTGGCGGCATTTCCCTTTGAAACGAAACACGGGGGTTAACTACTGTTTAGTATTGAAGTAGGGCTTTGGTATTGAAACTTGACTCATAGGAAGTTTCGGCCTGGGGGAGAGGGAGGGGAAGTCTTAATCTTGAGCAGTGGTGCTTTCCCTGTTTCTGGAACCAGTATAGGAACTGCTGTTCGGAAAACATGGAACCTTCAATAGTTGGGGAACTACTTTTTCGGATCTCTAGTATAATTTTTGTATATCTCTAATACCTTCTCTCTATTATGATCTAGTTGATCCTCGCAATTCATATATAAATGTTTATTCCTTCCACTTTCTTTCTCCCTGCTTAAATTTAGCAGTTGATAAGTTTGTTTTAGAACGTCCAAGAGACGTTCACGAGAGGCAGTAGCAATATCAATATGTTCAAGTGGGTCCTCAGGGGATGGTGTTTTTGGTAATTGGCGACGTTTAGAGGTGAATGACAATGACAAATGTTGCCTATTATTGGGTATAGGTGGGTTGAATGTTGGCAGTTTATCTTCCGTTTCACAATCTGATAAAGTTGAGGGTGTTACATTTTGGTTAGTCTGTGTGTTGCAGAAATCATCCTGTTTGAGGGGGGATTGATGAGTGGATACTGAAATTTTTGGGAAATTTTTTGGGAATTTTTTAAAGGATTTTTCTGAAGTCTATTTTAAAATATGGGGATAATTAAACAACCAAAATGGCGTTTAAAAGACGGCAAAATTGCCAGAATCGATTTTTCTTTAAAAGTGGCACAAAAAGGAGAGACATAAAGCTAAGAATGGAAGTCATGAGGATTTTCTCGACTAAAATTAGTTTAGACACAAAATGAGAGATGGTTAGCTATATTCTTAGAAAAGTAGTTGGATAGCAGATGGGGGAAAATAAATACTCGTAAAATCCTCTATAATGTGCCTGGATGTGAAATAAATTTATTTAATGAGTTTTTTAAAGGAGGGGAATTAGTTAGGATTTTAAAGAAAATAAAAAGTATTTACATTCACTCGAGGCACCAGCTTTCCGTTCAATCAAAAAATCTTCAGTGTCAGATCGACGAAATTTTACCCTATCCGGTACTGAATCATGTAAGGAGTTAACGATTGCAGGCATTGAATAGTGAAATCTCATTTGCGGTAGATGAGGATGACTTAAAAAATAAAAGTTCTTAAACGGTAGCAAAAATTTTTAGATTCACTAAGAACCCTTCATTTTAAAGCTATAGTATAAAGAGAGTCAAACACTCCAGTCAAACCAGGAAGGCCGAGGCGAGATAAAGTCGGGTCAGATTTCAACATTTTATTACGACAGGAAAATACTTGACAACCGCTAGCTTCGTTCGGATAACTATCGGATAACCCGGTCCATCCCTGAGTCCTACCGATATCTTTCATTTTCAAATGAATGTATTTCAGTATCATCATTATCATCGTTTAATTTTTGTTGCTTAAAATCTTCCAAATCTTGGTCAGAATATTCGTCATCTATGCTTGAATGCTTGTTAGTCCTCTCATCCCCCTCATAATTTGTTGTCAAGACTCGATCCCGATTTACCAAACAACCGCTAGCTATTTGCTGCTCTAAATCACTTATTTCAGATTCGCTTAGTAAATCAATCTAAAAATTAGATTTGTAAATAGGAATCGGATTTTGCTTGCCTGGGCAAAAGGAGGACTTCCACGCCTACAAAGACGCATTGCCGCTGAATGGTGCATTAATTGTTGACGTTTCCGTCTTTGAGAATGGAATAAATCAAGGCTCTGTTCCTCTTCGTCGTCAGAAAAGTAGGAAGAGAATGAGGAGTTCATTGTATCGGACAATTCTTGAATTATGAAAAAATATTTTTCAAAAATGAAGTACAGTTGAACCTCACTAAAATACACATGTGCCTGACTATCAGGGTTGGCGGATCCGGAGCCGAAAAGTCCAGAAATCCGGGAAACCCGGTACTGTTGTCGGATCCGGATACCCTGTAATTTTCTAAGATCCGCCGACCTTGCTTACTATATCTTATTGTTTTAAATGGAGGGTATCGTACATAGGCAACTTTCTCACCCTTTGACCAACCAAATTAAAAAATATTTTAAATTGCCATGTGCCTTATATTCAGATTCGACTGTAAGTACTAATAATCAAACTACTTGAATTATCAACAGCTGAGTGACATTTAAAACCGGGAGGTAAAGTCAGATATCCACCATGTAAAGAAGCATAATTTGGTGTATTGGATCCATCATCATCCGCCATAGGGATCAAATCGGTGTTTTCACTACCGGTAAAAATATCCTTTTTCCTCAACTTTTCTGCTTCGAGTTTGTCTTCTTTCTTTTCATTTTGCAAGGGAATTTCAATCATTTCGCTATTAAATTGGCCAGGAGCCGACCAGCTACTTTCTTTTCGATAATTCAAGTCTTGCTTTTCAGAAGATAACATTTTCATATCTTTAGAAAATTCTTCATCACCCTCCCCAATTTCAAAAGAATCTGGTGAGTCATTTGGACATGCTGGGGCTGACCAACAATCTTGTTCCAGTTGGTGTTGGTTCTGCAGTTCAGGAGATGTGGGAAGAGTGTGGATGGGGGAGTATTGGGATGGAGAACAGCCAGCTAGATTATCCGAATGTTTTCGGTTGTTTTTGAGGTCATCCTCGATGCGAAACTGAAAAAATGGAGAAAATTTATTAAAGTGGGCATCATTATGAAGATGCCCCTTAGGACCTTAGGGATACCCCTTGGTAAAGATAATCCCTTAAGGATACCCCTTGGTAAGGGGGTAATGAGGATACGCCTTTGTCTAATTCTAAAGGGTCTCAAAAGTTTAGGGTCGACTTATCAGTCAATCTTTAGTTGAGGAATGCAAAAGAATTATTTAAATAGATTTACCTGTAAAATGTCTCCTTTATGCAAATCTATCATTTCCATAATTTCTTCTTGACTGTCATTAATACCTTCTTTTACAATTTTTGAACAGAGAAGCGGCTTTGAATGAGAAGTTGAAGCAGAATGAGAGGTAAATCCGGCTAACGCGGACTTGGATTTGCGTAGAGGAATAAGGGCAGAATGTGCTGCGAAACTGTTTTGAGGAATGATTCATTATGGGATTCCGTTAATATATTTTTAAATACACGTCGAAACTCACTAAAAGGGGATGAAATAATGAACCCTGGGGCCTGTAAAAATGAACGCAATGATCAACCAACTATTAAAAACATCATCTAAATTGAGGTAGAGCTGTGCCGAAACAGGAGTTAGAAAGCAAAAAATGTAAAACCAAAGACGTAATTCAGTGGAAGTAGAAAGGCGAAACTGGCACACCCTGGTATTTAGTGTATTTAATAGTGAAGTTCGACTGTGTAAACTATGGTTGACCGGGATCGTGATTGGATCGGTCAGTATTATCCCGGTTTTTGAATACCGATCCCGAGTCCAAAAGATATATTCCGATCCCAATTTTGGCCAATGCCGATCCCGGCTTGGGACCGGAATCGGAGTCAATATTTCAAATCACGATCCCGATTTTAGGTAGGGTCAACCCTAGTGTAAAGAATAAATAAAAGTTTAAAATATACAATTCTTCATCGCTATCCTCCTCATCTACATGACAACCATTTTCGAAATTTAATTCATTCGTAATTTTATTTTCCTCCTCTCTACCATCTGATTCCAAAAGCTTTTTATGTTTAAATTGGAAATCCTTTTAATTTTTATTTTTTAAAAATTTATTTAGACTAAAAAACCAAATTAGCATGTGCCGAAATACTTTGAGAAATTTTCTTTAAATTTCCCCTTTCAAAATTTTTTTGATTGTTTAAAATTATTTGTTGAATTTCGTCGTCTTCCTCATCGCACTTTTCTTCCAAATAAATATTATTTGGTTGATTCATTAGGGGCGAAATTTTAAATTATTTTTAAATTAACTATAGTGTTGTTTGAAGGAAGAAAAAAGAGGATAATCCTTTATTGAAAAAAATATTTTTAAGTTCAAATCAGGAATGGACCGGGTTGAGAAAAAAAAGTCAGTCGGGTTTCGTGTCGCGTATTCGAAATTTTCTTCGGATCGGGTTTCAAGTTTTGATTTTCGAAATTTCGATTTCGTGTTGATGTTTTCGGATTTGAGTTTTTGAAAATTTTCTTTGGACCTGCTTTCTCGGAATTTTCTTAGGGTCGGGTTTCTCGCCAAAAAAAGACCAGATTTCAAATTTCGGGTAACCCGGCCCATCTCTGGTTAAGATAGGTCTTGATATTGCTTTACATAAATAATAATGACAATATAATTTATCAAATAAAGCCAAAACTAAAAATAAAATTTATTGAATGCTTCTTCTCTTTATTTTAAAAACACACACAATATGTGAGGGGTTAGTCTAAAACGGCACACGAATGTTTTTTAATGCATGTCTCTTTGCTGCACTATTTTCTAAGCTTTATCTAAATAGCATATATTTCTAAATTTTTCTATAGTTTTTTATGTGCCTCTTAAAAATGTGCGAGCAACACAAAAATTGAGCTAGACAGCTAGTATATTGTTGAAATAATATTAAAAAAAAGTAATTTGTTTACTAAAATGAATTTAAAAAACAATGAGATTATGGATAGTTATAGTTTTTAATTGTATAAAAATTATGGTGAAATTTTGGTGAAAAGTTTTTTGTGTTTCAACATGTCTATCGAAATGATTATAAATAAAGAAAATGATGTCATAAGATAGTGCCGACTTGAGCTATCCGAGACCGAAAATTTTTCAAGACCCAAGACTAAAACTAGACCCCAAGGCCAAGAGCCAGGACCAAGTCTTGTACAGCTAGTGCCTACCCAATTCAAAAAAATTGTAAATAATTGGATGGGACTTGATTTTGAGGGCTTAGCGATGCTTGAAACCATTCAAATAATCACCGACAGATCATTTTCATTATTGCTGAAAGGAAAGGGGTGAAAGGAAACTTGATCACCCTTTGTTTTTTAAACAAAATGAATGAGTTATGTTAAACATAAACAGCTAAAACCTCGATTAGTTGTCGGTTTGGAACCGAACTGAAGAACCGAGATTTTTCGTTTGCTTCCGGATATCCAGAGATTTTCTAGGAGCCGAAAACCCTAGTTTCTATAGCATCAAAAATCAACAAATTTAATGTAACTTTATAATTTATGTTTAATAAAAAATTATTATTCTTGCGTAACTTATCTTTCCTACGTTTTGGTTTATTTCCTGTCTGTTCCAGGTTGTGCCTAAAAAATTTTCCATCAAAACGAGTTTCATAAATAATATTATTTTTAAACATACTAAAATAAATAAAAGATAATCTCCTTTTTTAATATACTTTTGTCCTTCAATGTGTGTAATATTAAAGTGTTTTTTGAATATGCCTTATAAAAATATTTATTTATATTTGCAGTTTTTAGACGTTTTGTTGAACAATTTTGTGTGTTTATTTTTCCTGTCTCTAATGCATGGAAAAGTTCGTGCTGAAAATTAAGAATATGACGTAGCCCCATACTAAATTAGAGCCCCACGCTAAAATAGAGCCCCCACTTTTGGTTCTTCAGTTTAAGATATTTGGATCAAGGATCTCACAGGTCCAACTCGACTTTCAACTCGACTTTCAAGTTATAGAATGGTGCATCCCTTACGTGAAGTTTGTCACTTACCTGAACGAACTTTACCCCAACCTTAAAATAGCCAGACCTTTTTAAAATACCAATACTGTATCTAATAATGAGATTAGATTCATTAATATTTTAATTTTATAGATGTATTTAATTTTTATTCAATTGCTAACGAAATTTTTCTTTCTCCATTTTTCTGTCTTTTTATCATTTTTTGTATTTAATTATGGACAACAACAATTTGGATATTCTAATAATAATCCTTTTTATTCTTCCTTAAGTCAATCACCTTTTTCTTCCTTTTCCCCATACGGGAAGTCCAGTTACTTTTACTTGACCCCTTATGGTAATTATGGACAAAGTGGTTATGAGGTGAAGGAAAATCTAAAAATATTTTGATTGAAGATTTTTTAGGGGCCACCATTCGGAATTAATTCTTATTGGCAGCCAGGCATTGCTTATCCTTCAGGATATGGTTATGGACAGTCAGGAGGATATAAGTAGGTTGACCCAAAAAATTTTTTTAGGCCTCTTCCACCTAGAGAATTTTTTTGAAGAGTTTCTAGGGGCCACCATTCCCTCCCCTTTTACATTTTTTGAACGGTTTTGCACGCAACTGTATCAGAAGTGTGCCCACTTTCGCCTTTTGTCCTTTGCTAAATTTCGTTTGGTGTTTCGCCTTTCGTATTTCGTCAAATTTCGTCTTTATGGGATTTAGCCCTTCCTTTTTCTCTCTTTAAAATCCCGGCACACCCCTGATGCATATCTTTACAATACCCAAATTTTGCAATTTAAGCCCTTCCCTACAATGCATTGACCAATCAACAACTTGTGCATTACAAGCAAGTTCAGGCAAATGTACCTACAGTCCAAACACACTTGCAAACTGTCCAATTTCTTGTGGTGTCCCCTGTCCAGCATCGAATTACTTACCTAATTATTACAATAATGGAGGAGGGAACCCTTTATTCCAACAACCACCAATCCCTTCCTCAACCCAACCTTATAGCCCCTCAACAACCACTCAATACAATTACAACGACAATTTCTCCACCAATCAACCTTTCAACAATCAACCTTTCTTTTGCAGAGATTCGCACATTTTTGGCTGCCCAAATTGGGCAAAATTAAATTTTTGCCAAAAAATTCCGGAATTTATGTTAAATTATTGTAGAGCAAGTTGTGGGGTTTGCAATAATAATTACCTTCCTTCCCCATATAAAACAACAACCAGAAATCCGTTTAATCCCCAAAGCACTTTTATGCCCTTAGGCAATAAATATTTTAATAATGAAGAGTTGGAAGGACCTCCAGAGCCTTTTGGAGAACTTTATTCGAATGAATTTTTACAAAAACAGGGTTGGAATATTGAATATTTTTGAGTATAAAGAAATTTTTTTCTTAAAGATAATCAACTTCCAAATAATTTCTTGCCTTATTCTCATTATTATTATTTAAATTCCCCGTTAAAAGCAGCTACAGAAAGGAAAGAAAAACAAATAAAAATGGCAGATAATGCAGATTTTCAGCAAAATAAGGTAGAGAAATTTTAAGGCTCTATTAAAGGACATGTGGGTAAATATAAACGCACAGACCTGTAATGCAGGTTTCAATCAGAATTCCGACTAAAAATCCCTAAAATGCCTAGCTTGAGTGCCTAGCTTGACCTCCAAATGACTAGCTTGACCGATCATCTTAAGACGCCCCAAGACCTTGCCTTCCTTATTTGTTAGAGCGGATAGAGAGACTTTGCCTCCGTTTAAGGTAGACCCAAGGCCTTGCCACCTTGTTTCCTTTAAGTTTGGCTAGGCCGGCTAAGTCGTGAGATATTAGGGATCGGCGCTATTGTGGACCAAAGGGCGAACACTGAAGAAAGTTTATTAGCTTATTGGTCTCAAAAAGAATAGTAATAGATTGATTGACGGCCACAGAAATTTAATCGGAATTACGACTTCCTCCCGATTTCCGAGTTCCGATTTCCGACTGTTCCGATTTTCGGCACCTTTGTCATTTCCGATCGACCCCTACTGTAATGTCTATAAATAAATTTCTAATTTTTTAAAGATTTTATTCAGCGAGGATGAACAACAACAACAATTATTACAACAAAATAATTTACCAACCAATCAAAAACAGCACCAATTAACACCATCACAAATGCCTCCATCTACTTTAACTACCCAACATTCAAGTACTAGCAAATTAATTAAAATGGATGATTTATTAGATAATTAATTAAATAATTAAATATTTTATTTGTTTATTTGTCTTATAAAATGTTTTTTAAAAACTTTTTTTAAATGGATTATTGTAGTACAAAATAAAATCGTGTAAAGCAATGTTATTTATTTAGTATGAGGTTAACAAAAATTTAAGTATCTGGCAGGAGTTGTTTTTGCAACTTTATGAAGCTTTTCAGGCTTTCAATTACACGCTTGCAAGTAATCTAAAACAGAGATCCTGTAAATTGGGAAATATTCCCGGATCCCGGAACGGGATTGAGTTTAAAAATTTTGAACGGGACGTGATCCCGCGGGAGTAATCCCGTAAATCCCGTTTGTCGCTAAAAACCTGGGATTCCGGGACGGGATCCCGTACGGGGTCCCGTCCCGTGCCGAGCTCTATTATAGATATACTCTTTAACAAGACAGTAATAGAATTTAGCAAAAAAATAATATTTAAATTTATTTTCTATTTTAGTATTTTAACCCAATTTTTGCTTTAATAAAAAGCATTTATATTATATTTCAACTTTTCCTTAACAAAAAATACCGCACCTTTATTTTTATTACATATTTTTTTTTATTGTTTCTGTTAATTGTTAACAATTGTAAAAAATTTACTACTATTTTATTTTTACGACAAGGAAAAAATATTATTTTGATAAAAACAAAATCGGGCATTTTTTTTATTTTTGAGAATAAAAAATAATAAATAAAATTATTTTTATTTTCTGTTGACATCTACATAATATTAATTAATTTATTAAACTAAAATTTTTGTTAATTAATTATAATTTTCTTTTAATCCAAAAATTTATTTTAAAAATTTTTTCTAAAGTTGCCGATTATTTTAAAATTAAAGGGATGAATTATTTTTATTATTTTATTTTGAAATATTCAACAAATGTTAATTAAAAAACAAAAAATAATTATAATTTTATTTTTTGTTAAATATTTAACTATGAATTGTATAATCGCTAGTAGGGAGGATAAAAATATTCCGAAAATTACAAATTTGGAAATTAGTGAAGAGGAGGGATTTAAGGTGATATATTTTGAATTTTAAGAGGGTGTTTATCACAAGACGGATCGGAATTCTTAAGTTATTTGGAATTACGAGTTCCGCACTTTTAGGTTTCCAAAACTCTCTTTTTCCTTCCAATTTTCTAAACTTTTTTTTAATTTCCAACTTCTTACAATTAGTTCCAACATTTGAGTTGGTTCTGATTTCTTTAACTACATATACCGTAAAAGTGTGGTTGCTAGTTAAATAACCAGCACTTTTACGCTTTTACCTGAACTATAATACGATCGTAAATTAACGAAGACTTGGGGTAAACGAGGTCTTAACGATGGTAGAATAACGGTATCTAATAATGGTTATTTGTCCCGAATTTTTTATCTTAAGGTACGAGTCCACGGCTTTAAAAGATACTGGTTATACCCCTCTTTTATTATATGATCTTCATCGAGGTTCGAGTTGAATAGATTATGGGCAGTCAGAATTTTTTTCGGTCCAAAAAAAGGTCAAATTATTGACCTTTTAGAAACCTAAAAATTATATTTTTCAAATTTAGATTTACGAGGATTGGATAAACAAAGCTTTTGCCTCACTATTAAATGCTTATTTGCAATCCAAGTTTAAAAATTTTTCAAAAATTTTCAAAAAAATTTTTTCAAATTTTTTTAAAGAATAAATTCGAAGGAATTAAATAAAAATAAATTTGAAGAAATTTCCAAATGTTTTTCAAAAAATGAATTGACGCTTCCAATAATGTCTAAATGTGTTTTAAAAATATTAAAAGACAAAAAATTTGAAACTAAAAGATTTTTGAAATTTAATGGGAAAAAGAGAAAAAATGGAAAATTTAGGAACGAAAATATTAAAACAACAAAGATATCACAACAAAAAATAGGTAAAAAAGATATTTAATAAAACGTAGGGCGCCGGGCGCCAGCCGGCGTTGATCGACTATAACCAGTGTGGCCCTTTCCAAATCACTAAAAGGGGGCATGGGCTCTCAAAAAGGGGGTAAAGAGAGGGCGAAATTTGTCAAAAAGAGGGCAAGTGCTTCCCAAATGAGCTATAACATAATTTAGCCTTGATCTAGCTGATTAAGTTGACAGGCTCTCTCAGTTTACTCCGACCCTGATAAAAATTTTTTGAGGGGAAATTTTTTATGAGAGGAAATTGATGATAATGATCAGATCGAGATAAGATTTCGAATAAAAATCAGGTTTCTAATGTAGAAAGTACCGTACTTCCTCTACTAGAATTCCCAGACATTCTATTTTTCAATCACCTTCCAAAAGGGCAGTCTAATGGAGGGGGCATTCTATTAGAGGAAATACGGTATCCTCAACACGCGGAAATGCTACAAGTTTACATAAGTGAGGTATTTCTTTTTTCATATTATAGAAATAAAGAAGCAGCCAAATTACATCCTTTCGGATGCAAAAAGAATACAAGGTCTTAGCCCCGTTGGGGGGTTGGCACGTTTTTTAATGACTGATATGTTAAAGCGTACAAATAGAAGTGAAATTAAACCGTAATTTTTTTCTTAATTTTTAAAAAATACTCTGGAAAAATTAAAAACTCAATATTAGATGACCCTGTATATTAACGCGAAATTCATTCATATCTATTTTAGGTGGCAAAAAACAATGGAAGAAATAAAGAATTTGCAAGCATTAAAAGAAAAAATACCATTTAATAAATCTCCATTTATTTTAGGTAAAAATTAGGGTTGGACACAACCGGTTATTAACCGATACCTCCGGGTTTCGGTTAATCTAATTTTAAAATATTCGGTTTTCGATTTTGAGTACCGGTTTTATTTTGGGGGAATTTTTAATAAAATCACTCATTTTCATAATTTCCGGATTTAAAATTTTCTAAAAACGGTTAATTTTTGGCAAAAAATATCAAAAATTACGGTTCTAAAACCAGTCGTATCCAACCCTAGTAAAAATTTAAAAACAAATATTCTATAAAATTAAAAAAAAAGATTTTAAGGACAAAAAGATTCTCCAATAAATACAAAAATTAACAAATTAATTAATGATGGAATAAAAATAGCAAATAAATTAACAAAAAATAAAGAAGAAAATAAAGTAGAGAACAATAGAAATGTCAATTTTCTTTCCCCAAGATTTTTGAGTTTGACGGAAAATAAAAATAATAATAAGGCAAGTTTTAAAGTTTTTGATTATGTTTCTACCATTAGTGGTACTTTATTAATATCCCGCCCCCCACCCCTATTTGAGTGTCAGATTATTTTTCCCTTTTTTGCTGTCAATCATTTATTCCCCTCCTTTTTTAATACCAATCATTTTCTTCCCTCGAATATGGGACACCCAAAAGGGCGCGCTGCCATAACGGTGCAAAGCCATAACCTTTTGTAATATTTTTGGCCCTTGTCAGTTTTGTTATCAATCTCTTTAGCTCGATGAAAGGAATCGTTTAATATTAAGTTTTGTAAGGCTCGAAAACCTTGAAGCAAGTTATGGCTTTGCGCCTTTGTGGCCGCGCGCCCTTTTGGGTGTCTTATATGAGGGAAAAAAATGATTGACATTAAAAAAGGAAAAAAAAATAAATGAATGGCAGGTAAAAAGGAAAATTAATCTGAGACTCAAATAGGGGTGGGGGGCGGGATATTAATAAAGAACCCCATTAGTTTAGGTCAGGTAAAACTTGGGTATAATTTACCTAATCTAATAAGTCTACCTAACTAGCGGATAAAGGCGGTAATGGGCAAAAGAAGAGGTCGGTAGGGAAATCTAAAGGTGTCGGGAATTGGATTTTTGATAACCATCGATGTACTTTAAAATGTAATTTAAAGGAAATTAAAGAAAAAATGATTTTGACCCAAATGAACCCTTATCAATTTTTTGATTTTATGTTGAAGAGATTAAGGTTGGCGATACGGATTTTAAAAAGGCCAGAGTTCCTAAATTTTCGGTATATATCAGTTTTAGATCTGTTGGAATGTCCTCTATTTAATGATATAAATTTTGAAATTTTTTATTTAAAAATCAATTTATACTAATTTTTAGCAAAAAGTGCCTCATTTTTTAGTCATTTTTTAAGGAAAAGAGTACCTTACAAGAAAATTCATAACTTTTGAGAAAATCGGTCAAAATTTTTAATTTTTTGGTAAATCATAGGTAACATTCCGAACTATATTTTGGCAAAAAAATAAATTTTTAGCTCTATTTTAAAAGAAGTTATGATTTTTCTTCAAAATAAGGAGAAATGAAAAAATGAGCGACGCCAAACACTCTGCTTAGGGAAAAGTTTTCGTTTACGACCTTACAAATTTTCAAAATTTTCGCCTGCAGTCAAAGATAATGTATTTTTGGCGCCGAAGGCGCCAAAAATTTTTTTTATTGTAAATTCCCGACTCCCGATCCCGACTCCCGAGGTCATTTCCCGACCCGACTCCCGTTTCCCGATTCCCGAGTTTTTTCTTCTCCCGAACATCACTACTATGCAGGATTCCTCTGCTTTTCTTTGAAATGCTCGCGCCGCAGCTCAAAAATAATCTCTTCGCTCAAAAAATAATTTATTTTACTTTTTGAGTGAGGGACGTATCGGCTAAGCCTTAAGGGCACTAAATCCTTTTATCTATTCAAAAATATTTAAATTTTTTCCAGTTTTCTAATTTATTATCTCCATCATTATTCAGTTTACATAATGAAGGGAAAGGGTTAGAAAAAGAATTAAGCTTACCTAAATTATTAAAATTAACAAAAATTAATGGCCGAGACCAACAAGAATGGCTAAATTTAATAATGGAATATTCTGGAGTAAATCAACAAATTGAAGAAATTAAAGTTTATTTTATTTAAAAATAATTAATAAAAAATATTTATTTAAAAAGGAAGCTTTTAATTTTAATTCAAACAAAATGTATGATCAAAATTTGGATAAAAATATCGAAAAATGTTATGAAAATCAATTTAAAGGAGCATATTTAAATAGAAAAAATGTAAAAAATTTTTTAAAAATTATCTAACCTCATTTTTAGATACGCTCAATATTAGGTGACCTCTATTTAAGATACCTCTCATTATAAGGAGCATTTTCTAAATCCATGGGGATATTCTAGAGTGAAGTATGACTATGATTAAAATAGTCTAGAACCTCGGTTTAGAGCACACAATATGTATATCTAATCTAAGGATACAGGGTACAATATTTTCGATTCAGGAGTGTATCTTAGAGTGAGATCTGGCTATATTTATATTCGTTTTAATTAGAATAATCTAGAGCAGACTTGGTAATGGTCATGAATTATGTTTGGCGATTATGAAGAAAGAAAAATCGCAACGTATCCTGATATTTACGACGGATTTAGACGGAGATTCGCAGGCATTGAACCTATCTGTATCCATATCCGTATCCATTACCAGGCCTGGTTTAGAGCCGCTATAAGTACAATTTCAATCTAGGATACCTTTCTAACATTTGTTTGGCCATTATATGGGGGATGATTGACTAAGCACCTATTTTTGATACTTCCCATTATAAGATACAATTTTTAAGATCCAAAGGGTATCTTAAATAAGGTCCGATTATTTAATTTAAAATATTTTTTAATTAAAAAAGATACAAAATATGTTTGGCGATTATGAAGAAAGAAAAATCGCAACATGGGAAGAATTAAATAAAAAATTTAATTATAAACAAGTAAATTAATTTTTTCTAATTTCTAAAAATTTTTTAATCAAAATTAAAGAGAAAAGAATTAGACCAAATAGGCTATTCAATGCTTACTAGAGACCAATTAAAATTTTTGTATGGCCCAAAATCTCCCTTCAATGACTCTGTGACACTTGAAAGATTGTTGCCTTTAACAGAGTTTTTAACTATAAATCAGGTAAATTGAAGGAATTTTAAATAAATATAAATATGTTAAAAGATAATCGAAAGGGATATCAAAAAAATATCGCAAATGAGTTCTTTTAATATTCGACAACACGATGTTGTGGTAAGGATATTTATAGTAGGGTTAACATATCAGAACGAGAGTTGACGGGTCCGGACACGCAAGAGCCCGGATGTCCTAAAATTTCCGGTCGGATATCGATCAGGATATACGGAGATTCCAAGACTCCACCAACTAACCCTAGTCGGGATAGCTCAATAAATTAAAGTTTGATTAAACATCTATTTACCAATAAAAATCTAGCATATCTACCAATTTAAGTTCCGGAAGATATTTTGGTCAGAAGTAAGTGTGCCCGTTCGAAAACGAACTAAGAAACCGTGAAATTTTTGTAATAAGGGTTAATCCTTAACTACAAATTAGTGATCTATTATATGAGTAAAAGAACCTAATAAAGGGGTACACCCCATTATACGGCCGCCCAATATACCGCCGCCAGTAGACCGCATGCCCATTATACCGCACGTCCATTATACCGCCGCTAAAAATTTTTTTATTATTTTGGCGGGGATAGTTGATCGGTCAACGGAGGAAGTTGTCCCATCAACGGGGTAAGTTGTGGGCGCTAGAGACAGGGGGCGCTAGAGACAATCTCAAAAAACGCAGAATCAGAATCGAAAGCCCCAGGTGCACTCAAAGATTTTTGGACGATTTAATTTAAATAAATTTTTCTTTTTTTTTCTAGCTTTCCCCAAGTGTGTTTAAACCGGGAATATTAAATCCAACGTAAATTTATAATTAAAATTACAAAAAAAATTTTTTACAGTCGAGCAAGTCAACCATTTATTCTTTCACCTGCTCTATTTTCTCCAACAATTCTTTCACCAAATATTTTTGGTGCTGGAATTCTTTCTCCTAGGCTTTTTTCACCTACAGTTTTTAATTTTTTTAAATTTAAATTTTTTTTTTCAAAAAAAGATTTTAGCACCTAAAGTCATGTCACCTCTAATCTTAAACCCTCTAATGTTCTCACCAATTATACTTTCACCACTTGTAATGGAACCATTTATTCTATCTCCTGGATTTTTTCATTCCGTGGTAATTTTTTGAATTTTTTATTATGGACCGAGATCTATTAAGATCACGGTTAGCTAGATTTCTAATGATCCCTAAGCCAGGCCTGAGTTTTTTAAAAAATTCCCATATTCTGCCAAACCCCATCAATAAGACTAAAAACTCGTTTTGGCAACGGCTTCCGGACTTATGTGAAGTGGACATTTGATAGTACGCGTACTCTTTAAGTGTCCACTCCTTTATTGTCCACTATCCAATTTTTCACTCTCCAAATGTCCGGGCACGTTGACAACATAGCCTTATTGGCAAAACATAGGTTTTTAAATTTCTTTCATTTGTAGATATCTCCAAAATTAGATACGCCTCAATTTAAGATAAATTAAACCTTGGCTGGTCACTAGGTGTAGGTAGGATGACTTAAACCAGACCTGGTCACGGATACCGATTTTGGTATCCGTATCCGGATATTTATGGCGGATACAGGCGGATATCCGCAGGCATTTTGGTATTATCTGTATCCATATCCGTATCCATGACCAGGTCTGACTTAAACACTATGAACTCATCCAAAAGTGCCTAAGCGATACCCTCTATTTAAGATACTTTGTACGATTTTTTCAACCCAAGCAGGCATATAAAAATAAGAAACATCTTAATTTTTTAATTTTTAGATTTTAAGCCCTTATATACTGACTCCAATAATACTTTCACCATTCCTTCTCTCATCAGTTGTTCTAAGCCCATCAGCACTTTCGCCTCTAATTTTAAGTCCATTTGCATTAAATCCTCAAGTATTGTCACCTAAAGCATTTTCTGGACTTGTACTCTCTCCATATGCTTTTTCGCCTGTTTTATTGAGCAAAACATATCATTATGTGGTTATACTTTCGCCCAGTTTGATGAGTTGATTTGTGAATGATTAAACAATATTTTGATGGATTTTAAAAGAATTGGAGTTGCGAGATTTATTGGAATTTTTTTAATGTTTAAAAACATAACAAACAACTCCCAACCAGACCCGGTCACGGACACTGATCTGGGTATCCGTATCCACATGTTTACGGCGGATACAGACGGATACAGGCGGATATCCGCAGGCATTTTGATATTATCTGTATCCATATCCGTGACCAGGTCTGCTCTCGACTCTAATTAATTGAACTCATATTTTTATTTTGTAAATGATTCAATAAAAATTAATAAAAAAAATATAAATTTGTGTATATCAATTAATTTATTAATTGTTTGATTTTAATTAGTGACCAGATGCATGAGGGGTTCTACATATAGACCTCCTTTTTGATTTCGGAATGCGCGATTTATCTCGCGGGATTCCGTTTCGCAAAGATTTTTAGAAAAAATCTAAAGACAATATTTTTTTACTCAGACAATATTTTTGAATTTAAATTTAAAAAAATAATTATTTTTATTGTTTGGCAAAATGTCATTAAATTTAAATATTTAAGGTTCCCATTTTTTTACTATGGGTATTCTCTTAAAAATCCTTTCCATAACTCTAATAATTAGAAAACGCAAACTTTTTAAAATAAATTTTTTAGACTTTAAAAAATTTAACAAAAATGCCAAAATATTTAAGAAGAAAATGTGAAAAAAAGCGTGGAGACAAGAATAAATTTGGTGAAAGAAAATTAATTGAAAAAGATGGTGAAAATCAGGGTGACTTTTATTCTTGAGATTTTTAATCGCTTATTTAATCATTATGTTCTAGTCTATGGACAAGTTCAAAAGCTCCTTGGAAATTGCCGACTATTAGCTTTTTGTTTTGACGGCAAAGACCGTCTATGCCGTATTCGCGGAAGTTTACGTAAAATTACGTGGATAAATGTTGGTGATATTGTTTTGATTGGACTTAGAGAATATCAGGATAATATGGTGCTTCTTTCTTTAAATATACATCAGAGATCGAGCTGGGTCTTGAACAAGGCCTGGATTTTTCCTGTGCCCAGAGTCTAGGCATATTTTGACCTTCCTGGGGGTTTTCCTGGCCTTGGGTTTTTCCTGGTTTTTTTTGACAGGCCCAGGATCCGGCCCAGGTCAATAAATCGAACAAACCCAGAGTTTAGGAACAGGCCCAGACTTTTCAAAAATCTCGATTTCTAATATACATCGTCCTTTCACCAAATTTTTATAGGGAGACGTAATCTTAAAATATACGCAAGACGAGGTTCGCGCTCTGAGGGAGTCTGGTCAAATAAGTGAAACTGTGAAAGTGAACGATAAAGATGTTGAAATTTTGTTTGGTAAATATTCAATTAGAAAATTTCCAAAAAAAATTTTTTTCTTAAGAGAATAAGGATAAAAATGAGGAAATTACTGTTATGCCTCAAATGAGAAAATTTTCGATTAGTGAAAGTGAAGAGGAAACGGATGAAGAAGAAATTGAGGAGGGGAAGGCAAATTATGTTGAGGAAGAGGGAAAATAAGAAGAGTGAGGAAGGCAAAAATTAATTGACATTCAATTAAAAAAAATTTTTGTACTTTTGTTCCAAATATTGACATGTTTTGTAGACCTTTTGAAATACAAGATTTTTATTTTTTATTCTCTCAAATTTTTAAAGTATTTTATCCAAATTAAAATGACAAAGATTTTTATTGTTTTTTTACATTGGATACATTTCAGCAGTTTATCAACTATTACGTTTTATCACGTCCAAGATAAATTTCTAAGCGTTGACGGAACAAAATCGGACTGAAAAATCCTGGATTAAATTTTTATTTGTTTATCTGTCCGCAGTTGAATTTTACGAGACTTTTGGTGGGGTATTTGGTGGTGTTTATTTTTTGATTAAAAATTAGAGACCGGCGCGTCTCAGGATCCCGCGGGAATACCGTTCCCGCACTCTCAATTTTCGAGATGCGGGACTTTGCGGGATTTATCATGCAAAATCCTGATCCACAAAAATTTAAAGAATTTCACATGCGGGATCTCGCAAACACGATTTTGCCGACCACTATGTCAAACGTAATATACATACAATACACAACATTTTTATACAATAAATACAAAAAATCACAACACAAATATGTACAATACAAATAATCACAACAAAACAAAATTATCCACCAATTTTTCTCCTTCCCCAAACATCTACTTTCTTAGAGCCAATTGGAAAACACAAATACATCATCTCATGTTCTTGTGGATTATCTACACCAAACATTTTATACTCCACAACTTTATAACGTTCTTCTTCATTCTCCAACTCTGGATCCTCCATTTGAAAATAGCGTTCTTCTTCTTTTACCAGGTCGCCACGCATTTTTCGCCAAAAATCGTCTAAATAGAAGCCTCGATATCCGTGAATAACAACGTGATGGTACATAAGTTCGTATCCTCCAAGAGAACTGGAGTGTTCTTTGCCGATCAGATAAAAACGGTTTGTGTGGAACTTCAACGGAGAATCGCCAAAAAATAATTCGAGAATGTCCGGATTGATAAAGCCTTGTTCAACTTTGAAGTTTTCGATGAAGCAATGGGAAAGCTTCTTTAGCCAGAAACGAAAAACAAGCATTTCTTCAATTGTTTCTGGATATCGTTTTAATTGCAGTCGAAGAAATTTAGGCGATGTTACATCTAGAAATGAAAAAGTTAACTGATACAAGCTTCAAAAGTTCACCTGTTTCTCCTGATTCAAACAACAAATTTGCGATTTCATTCGTTTTATCGTCAATTGATACACGAGAACTGTCCTTGTGATAAAGGCAGGTAGGAATCCGTTCTTGAATTGCTGCTTGATACTGAAAAATAAAGAGAATTTTTAAACAAAATAACAACCCCTCTTATTTACCTTTAATTTGTTTTGAGCGCTCAAAGCCAAGTCCAACTCATTAGGAACACATTCCAACTCTTTACAAGCATCTGTAAAACAAAAAGTTATACTCGATTAAAGAGCAAAACCCTTACAATTAGCAACCAATTCAACAGAACACTTTCCTAGCCAATTCTTTGTTGTAGTAGACGATCACTTCACAAAGATGACGATTTGACAGTTGAAAGTTGTTCAATTGGTTGAAGTTGAGGCATTTGAGGATGTCAAGTTTTGTTTCGGCCGGTAGAAGATTCATTGTTGTTATGGGATTTGTTTCAGCAGGTAGAAGATTTGTTGTTGATTGATGAGAGAAAGATTTAGTCAAAAAAACTTAAGCCTTTTATACTATCTTTTTATAAGCCTAATTGTTAAATACTAGACATTACTGTAGACTATGTAAAGTATTTTGATGATTAATAGGAATAAAAGTATGTAGCGGTTAAAGTCCGTCAATGTTAGAATTCTGCAATGGTGGAGATTAAGTTTCGTCACAAGCAACAGATCAGAGTTGAGAGATCTCAGAATTCTGATTGTACTGATCTCTGATTGTAATTACGCGTTAATTAATATTTCTTGGCGTTATGTTTATATCCAGTCAGACACTAAAAGATTTTATTTCTCTACTTTTTGTTAGCAAATTTCGTGCCCACTCAACTCATCTAATCCTTAACTCATCCACACGCCCAAAAACGCTTAACTCATCTAAACGGCTGAAATTCCTTAACTCATCTACACGCCCAAAAACGCTCAACTCATCCAATCCTCAACTCATCTAACCCTTAACTCATCCACACGGCCAAAAACGATCAACTCATCCAATCCTTAAAATATCGGGCCAGTTGAGTCCCTAGCCACTTGAGTCCCGGCCGGTTGAGACTCAACTGCCCATGGACTCAACTGGCAATTGACTCAACTGCCCATGGACTCAACTGGCAATGGAGATGAGTTAAGGTTTGGATGAGTTAAGGATTGGATGAGTTGTATAGGAGCCGCAAATTTGCTTAATTTTTTTTATAATTTTGTTAATTTTTTAATCGAAATCTTGTTCAAGTTTTAGAATTTAATTAACGCAAAGTTTATTAAACAATGCCAAAAAATAAAGGAAAGGGAGGAAAAAAGCGAAGACGAGGGAAGAATGAGAATGACATTTTGAAGAGAGAATTGGTTGAAAAAGATGGAGAAAATCAAGGTTTAGAGATTTTATTTTTAAATAAAATTTAAAAAACAACTTTTTAGCCTATGCACAAGTGCAGAAAATGCTTGGGAATGGGCGTCTGACAGCTTTTTGTTTTGATGGAAAACAGCGGCTTTGTCATATTCGAGGCAAATTGAGGAAGAAAGTTTGGATAACACCTGGTGATATTATTCTTGTTGGACTTAGAGATTATCAAGACGAAAAGGTTTTTGAAATCAAGTTTTGATTTTGGTAGTAGAGGGGGTTTTGCCACAATGAATTCAGTCAATAGTTTTATTTTTGGTGTAGGATCTTTTATGGTTAGTGAGCTCCGAGGAAATTTTTCTATGTGACAGAGCCAGTAGATAGGTTTCAAGAAAGTTTAGTTACTCGACTGAAGATTGATACAAACCTGCTTGTGAATCAAAGATTTTTAAATATTTGAGATCCAATTTTATGAGATGACCATCAATTGGATCCAGACTTTGATCTGGAGTAGGGTTGCGCTCCAAGCCTTCGAGGACGGGATCGTCGGGGATTGGGGTTTGTCGGGGTAGAGCCTTCGGGTCAGGGTTTTTGCTATAAAATTTATCGGGGGACGTGGTGCTACACTAATCTAGAGTTACGATCAAGGCATCTTTCAGTGTTTCTTGGGGTTTCCTTGACTCAAAGGCAGGCAAAAATCTGGACAATTTCCTCAACCGAAATCAAGTCAAGATTTTTTAGAATTTCCATTCTCTACTAATTTTATCATACATACTTACCCATCTCTTTGCACGTAGTTTATGAAATTTTCGAATTCTTATCCAAGAAAACAATTTTCTTAATTAAGGCAGATGTAATTCTAAAATACACACCGGATGAGGCTCGTATTCTCAAAAATGCTGGTCAGTTGCCTGAAAGTACAAAATTAAACGAAGGCGAAGAGGAAGATGCTGGAGGGGTTGAATTTAGTAAGAAGCTTTTTCAAAAATTTTTATCATTTTTTTGTTTTAGTTGATTCTGGCGAGCATTACAGCGAGGACGAAGTTGCTGCTCAAGACAGAAATTTCTCTCTTAGTGAAAGTAGTGAAGAAGAGTCAGATGAAGACGAGGAGGAGGAGGAAGAAGAAACAAATATTAAAAGTAAAGGGAAGGTTAAATGAATTGAAGAAGATATTTTGGGATTTAAAATTATATATTATATTCTTTTAATTTCGTTGTATCTAAAAAAAAGTAAATAAAGGTTTGTTGAAAATGTTTATTTTTGTTCATTAAAATATATATTTTATATATTTCTAATATTTTTTTTCGTGCTTTTTTTTAATGCAAAATTACCATCTATGTAATGTTGCCTTAATACCAAAAAAATGCCTTAATACCAAACGCCGAAATACCAAAAGTTGTTGATTGTTAACGACCTTATACGTTGATAGGGTAACTTTTACCGTTGTTGAAACAACTTTCCACGTGTTGGAAAGCAAGTTTGTCTTTTTCCACAGATTGGTATTTCGGTAATTTTTTGGAGGTTGCTACTTCGGCGTTTGATTTTTCGGAGCTCTCCCCATTTATTTTTTTAAATTTTTTGACATCTATTTGACATTATTCGAATTTGAAGAAACGACTTAACATTTCTTCATACTCATCCTTTTTTCAAATTTTTTAAAATAATTTTTAGAAGCTTAAAAATGGATAAAATCAAAGCATTCATTAAAAAGAAAAAGGCAGACAAAAATTTTAAATTGGCTGGGCCTGGATATGTTTTAAAAGATGACAATACACAATCAAGCAGTTCACCAAAACATTCTCCTCCAAAACAATCACAACAAGCTAAAGTAAAATTTAAAAGAAATTCTTTTTTAATTATATTTTTTAGCCTCCTCCACGTCCCGATGCTTCAACAATAGCACAGGCAGCTGAGAGACGAATGGCTAAATCTGCACCGCAATCAGAATTGACTCCAATGCAAAAAATTATTAAGATGCAGGTTTTGATTATTTTTTAACTTTTTGGTGATTTTTTAAAATTTTTGTAGGCAAAGAAGGAATTGGAAGAAGAACAACGCAAGTTGACACAAGAGATGAAGGGAACAAAAGTTGACGACACTTCTTCTAAAATGCCAAAGGCTGTCAATGAACAATCTAGTGTTTTATACACCTGTGAGCTTTTTGGTGAAGACGAGGCTTTGCCAAAATCTGAGGTTTTTTAATTAAATTATTAGCAGAGTAGGCAAGTATGTCGCAAATTCGTGGTTAACAAAAATTTACGGGAAATCGATTTTGGGGTTATCTAACGCAGCTTTACAAGATATTAATAGAAAATTGAATTCATCCTATTTTTTTAAAGCTAGGTTTAATCCTTGTGATAGATTGTGTTTCGAAAGATGGGGATAAATCTTTTCAAAAATAACTAACAAGAACTATTTTTAGACATTATCAAGAATTATTATAGAAAATTACCTTTTATAGTGCTTCACTTAAACTTTCAAATAATCTTTTTGTTAAATACAGATGCTGGATGCAATCGGTTCTTGCCTTTTTGAACAACTTCAGGATGGTGAAGCCGATCCTTTATATACAACTACCTGTATTATTCATACTTTAAATAAAGAAAATGTTAAAATCCCGGCATTGGATACAATTCAACGTTATTTACAAAATATTATTGACAATCCAAATGAACAAAAATTTAGAAGGATTAAACTTTCTAATAAAGTTTATCAGGTTAATTTTTTAGATTTTTTGTATTGTCTAGAAATTTTGTCTTCGAATTTAATTCAGTTTTTTCCTTTTGATTTTTGATACAGATCGAGCTGGGTCTGGACCAAAGCTTGGTTTTTTCCTGGTCGAGAGTCTAGGCCCAAGCATTTTTTGATTTCCTGGGGTTTTCCTGAGCCTGGATTTTTCTGGAATACAGGCCCAGGATCCGACCCTTTTCAATAAATCAAACCCAAAGTCTAGGAACAGCCCCGGGCTTTTCAAAAATCTCGATCTCTAATTTTCTTTGGTTTTTTTGTGTTTCAACTTTTCCTAATTTTATTGTTTATTTTTTCATTTCTTCATTATTTTCTTAAATTTTATTTAAATTTTTATTTAAAATAAACACCTTTAGGAAAAAGTAGCACCATGTACTGGAGCGTTTGAATTTTTGATAGCAACTGGCTTTCGTAAAGAAGAATCAGCGTCTGAACATTTTCTAGTTTTGGATAGTCTAAATATTGGGTCAATTGAACAATCATTAACTGTTCTTTTTGAGGGAAAGGCTATTGCTATTAAATTGTTTCGTGATCGAAAGGTTTATTTAAAAACTTTTAAAATTAATTTTCTTGGACTAGGGGTGTTAGAAATTTTGTTAGTTTTGGATTGTTTCTGGGTTTATCTTTGTAATGCTTGCTTAAATTTCTTTGGCATAACCCAATCCTAATTTATTTAAAGGCAATTGCCTTACAAGCAAAATTCTATATGACCTACCTTTTCCTATTTTTGGCTAAAAAATTTTGGGTTTAAATAATTTTTTTTGGAATTGGTGTATGATTAATATCAGGCAAAAT